TCAGCACAACCGCGGCCGTCCGCGGCGCTTTTATTTCGCGCGAAGCGGCAGCCGGAGCGACTTCGGTTTTCCCTCTGGGACTTGGATGGCTCTGCACCTCCTCGCGGGAGGAGCAGGAGCGGATTCACCGATTTTTTCCTCTCGGCCGCAGCGACTCGTCTGGCACGCTTTCCCCCCTTTCGCGACCGCGCCGCGGCGAAGTTGTCGTCGCCTTCGCCACCGACGCGAACGTCGGCATGAACGACCTCTCGGGCCGCACCGCCATAGGCGAGGTGGCCGCGTCCCGGGACGCGGGGCACCTTCTCTCCCGCGCGCGCGCAAGCTACCGGCACCGTCGTGTCTCCCCCCTTGTCAGAAGAAGCCTTGTCCACCTCCCCCCTTTTCACCTCTTCTTTCAACTTCGCGATCTGCCTCCGGGCCAACGCGAGTTCTTTTTTAAGCGCCGCCACGCGGGCGCCGCCCTCGGAGTCCGCGACTCTCCCCGCGAGCTCCCGGACGGCCGCCATGACGAACGCCACCCCGTCCTTCATTATCTTCACGTGCCCACCCTTAAGGTTCGAAGACCTCCGGACGGCCGAGAGAACGCAGCGAGCCGCGTTCACCGCCGCATCGGTGATCTCCTCCCCCTCCAAGCGAGCGAGACCCCCCTTCCTGATAACAGGGAGGCGGAACATGGCCTCCTCCGCAGCGGCCTCCTTCTCCGCCTGCCTGGCCGCCCGAAGAAGAAACATGGCCTCTTCCTCGGCCCTACCGCGCACCTCCAGCCGCGGACGCGTCCTTTTAGACCCTTTTTTTTTTTTTTTTTTTTTTGACCCAGGAGAAATGCAAGTTACGCACAACCCCTCCTGCTAAAGAGGGAGTGTGGGGATCGGTTTGGAATCGAATGAAAGCCTAAACGGGGACCCCTACCCACTAAAACTCCTGGGCATGTCGCTAGAGCGTGACCTATATGGAAAGGGGGGGGAAGACGCTCGTGGGAGTGGAACCTACATTTCAGTCTCCCCTCTCCGGTAGGTCAGAACGTTAGCCGTTCCACATGATCACTGTTGGGGAGGTCCGCCCTAATCTCCGTTCCGTCTCCTCCTCGAAGATGAGAACGCACCTCCCGGGACGTTCGGCACCCCTTTCGGAAGTGTCCTCCGGTCCCTCGCCGTGGGGAATTGGATGAGAAATGCGCCTGTTTCTTGAGGATGCGATCGGGGCTGGGGATGGAGACTTACCGCGTCGCCTGAAAAGGGGTAAAAAGATTAAAGTGAAGAGTTATTTGATCGCATCCTCCCTAACGGTGTCAGGAATAGAAAAGGGGGGACAGAAGAGGAATCGACCGGGGTCGCCGACCCTCGAGAAGAAAGAAAGAAGTGTGTGTGTGTGTTTCCGCCCGACGACGACGGGTTCGCACCCGCCGCCGCCGGGCGTCCTCACCCTCACCTTTGCGGAGACGTTCGCGACCTGCCACGTCGCTCCCGCCTCCGCCGCGGGGAACGCGAGCTTCCGGAACCGGACGACACGGGCGGGCTCGCTACTCCCGGCCGAACCGCCCGTTTCCTTCACCTGCGCGCCCCACGCCGCTACTATCGTTTTGGAAGGAAGATCGAAGACATGAACCTGAAAACAGAAACATTAATCCCCGTTCCCCCCCCTCACGACGACCCCACGACGATCGACTCGCACGAAGAAGCTCCCCTCATCGCACCCCCCTGTAATCCAGCACCCCAACGGATAGGTTTTCCCTTGACCGAAGGCGCCGAACACGAAGGACCGCCCAACCGGTGATTGGCCGGACGGCCGGGCTCCGCGCAACGAATGGAGTTCGCGCAATCGCGCACCCGGTGCCCTGCCCCTCCGCACCTGAAGCAACGTTCTTGCGCTCCCTCGACCCTACCTTCAAATTTGGGACACCGCGCGTCCAGGTGCCCTGGATTGAGACACCTGAAGCACACGGCTTTTCGCTTCGGCGGGAGAACCACCCGCGCTCTGACCCAACCAACGGTCACCTTGCCCGCCTCGAGGAGGACGGATGCGGCGGCCGCGGGAATAGACGCGAACCCCAGTTGCGGTCTTGCGCCCCCTCCGACCGGAGGACGCACCAAAACGCCAGAGATAGGACATCCGCCCGCCCTTGACAACGCGAGAGCGACGTCGCGCGACGTCGCGGAGGTCGACTCTTCTCGCGGGGCACGTCGCCGTGACCCCCATCGGCCCCAAGACCTTCGAAAGCTCCGCAGCCAGCTCCGCCGCCTTGGCCGCCCTGTTTTCTCCCTTGATTTCGAACATCCTCCCCTCGTTCGCGGACGGACAAATCCTAAGGGAGTCAATTTCTAGCTTGAATAGATCTACGCGATTCCTCGCGGCGGCCAAAACCTCCGCGAAGGATTTATTACCCTCGTTTCTATTCAAAACCACCGTGGCCGTCCGCGGCGTTTTTAATTTTCGTGCCGAAGCGGCCGCCGGAGCCGACTTTGGCTTTTCCCCTTGGGACTTGGAGTGCTCCTGCACCTCCTTCCGGGTGAAAGCAGGAGCGGATTCATCGACTTTCTTCCTCTCGCCTGCAGCGACTCGTTTCGCACGCTTTCCCCCCTTTCGCGACCGCACCGCGACATACTTGCCTCTTTTTTTTTTTTTTTTGATGGCCCAGGAGAAATGCGGTTACGCACTAACCCCTCCTTTGAAAAGAGGGAGTGTGGAGCTCGGTATGGATTTAAAGAAAGCCTCACCGGGAACCCATACCCACTAAAACTCCTGGGCATGTCGCAATAGCGTGGCTTATATGAAGAGGGAGGGAGACGCTCGTGGGATGCCTCCTTCTATCAGCATTTTCTTATTTCCTCTCACGTTATTATTGTGCTTGTGGTTCATCTCTTTCAGCTACATAAGCTTCTAGATTCACTGTGCTATTGATACCAGAATCGTGTATGCCCTTGCGCCTCATTGCATATATCTAGTTGTATAATAAGGGATTAACCTCTGATGGATATGGACCTTTTGAAGATAATCCTAAGTCTCTCATGTAATATGAGTCTGTCCTTATATCTTATAACTATCCTATCCATCTCAGGTTCTACCTTTGGATCAAATAACTACTTCATAGCTTCTTTAGTTTTTAATCCTAATTAGGTGGATAAATCCCTCATTGCACTACAGTTTACTTCCTGTTGTTAGTGTTATTCTTAATTTTTGGATGGTCTTTAAATCTACTTAAGAACATGTCCACAAATGCTTCTTTATTGTTTACCCGTGGATACGTCCTGCAATGGCCTCGGTCAGCATTCTGCGTGATTGACTCTACATACTGTTGATATTTTGCAAATCGTGTCAGCAGTCAAAAGTGCTCCAATTAAAATTTTTTGATGTTGTATGGAGTATGGAAAATGATAATAAATAAAAAAACTTTTGTAAATGAAATTTAAAAAAAATTTGTATTATTATTATTATATTTTTAATTATAATAAAAAAAAATTTAAACAAACAAAATGTGTGTATTTTTTTTTTTTTTACCATAAAACATAATATAAAGATATGCATAAATAATATCACATTTTTTTAATAATAAAAAATTAATTTCAAAGCAAAAAAAAAAAAAAAGGAAAAATTGTGATTTTGCGCCAATGGCGGACAACAACTTAATAACTAAATAACAATATGATTCAGATCGCGAGGACGGTTTCGTAAAAATACACATATTATTATTATTATTATTATAAACAATGATTTTCAAAGGAACAATTTAATATTTCTTCTTTACAAATTAAATAAAAAAAAAAACTAAAAAGGCAGCTTTTTATGTTTTGGTCATCATTTATACTAATTTTTCTTTTGTAAATAAATGCAAACCTTTCCCTTCCCCTTCCCCGCACGTTGTCGACACGTGCAAAAAACCAAATTTACAAACGATCAATATGTAACAGTTAAACGTTAAGAAATAATAATAATAATATTGTTAATTAAAAAAAAAAGAAATTTATCCTTTCCCATTAAAATATGTACTGCGACGCCATTTTTTTTTTCTTCCCTCCATTTTTTAACATTTTAATGGACGTCGTTTGGAAAAGAAAAGAAAAGTTTTATTATGATGGCGATGGTATTCTTCTCTTTGATGATGATTTTCATTATTTTCTTCTCAAGTCTATGATTTCGACGGGTAAATCTTCGATGGCGATGTGTTCTGCTTTCTGGAAGGGAAAAGACGAAAAAATTTAATAACAGACTCATAATCATGATTATGTGAAATTTTCATACCTTGTATAAGGGAGGCTCGGTTGGATGAGGATGAAATCCCGTTTGCCTGCAATTGGCAACAACGTCGAGTCCGTGTTCTGGAGTCAATATGAAAAAACCATTTTCTTCATTTTTCGGAGAGCAAACGATGGCCAAAGCTTCGGGTATCATCAATTGATAAGAACAATGAGTGTGTAAATCCACAGACGACAGAAAAGCTGTTTGACTCGGATGAGTCTGAAAGAGAAAAGAATCAAGTTGATGGAAAACTTGTTGCGTAACACCCGCTGCCCCCCCAATCAAATCGTATTAGAAATGATGATGATTATTACAACGACGACCGGATATGATAATAAAACGGAAAAATTGAAAAAAAAATGACGTCACTTCCTGCAAAGTAAAAAAATAAAACGTAAAAAATGTCATTATATAAATAAATGCTGACAATGAGTCATTTTTTTTTTTTTTTGACTTGATTCAAAATCGACAACATGTTTTTTTTTTTTTTTTTTTCTCTTAATTGACCTTGGATGTGTTTTTATGGTTGGTCGTCCATTTTAAAATGTTTTTTTTTTATATTTAAACTATAAAACTTGTCATCCATGTCTTCTTCATTTCCTGTAATCATTATATCGTAAAACTCCATTTTTTTTAGCAGCAGCAGCAGAATCGAATAAACGAATGATTATGAAAAATTTTACTCGTTCAAAAAATATCAGTTCTTGAAATTTATCATTGATTCATAAATTTTTATTTCCTTATTTGACTGGGATTGAATTGGGATTTGACTTACATGAATCCAACCTAAAGTGATCAAATTATGTTCATCTAAATATTCAAAAATTTCTTCTTCGTTTTCTGTCGTGCACGAATCTGAAGTTCCCACTTGTTTAGGAATCAATAAATGAGATATTGTGAGTTGATCCCTTTCCAAACGTCCAGCTAATATTCCACAAGTTTCTTTGTTTTGCTCAGTGTTCATCATGGAAAGTATTAAAAATTTTGACATGAGTTTTGCTGGGACCATCATGTGCCTGAGAGCAACATTGATTTGTGATAATGGTCTTAGTAAAGTAGGTCTTGTTCCGACATTTTCTTTGGCTGCAACACCTTTACTAAAAATTTTTTTTTTTAAATATTAGGAATTGACCTTCGTTATTTATTAGTCAATTTTGTTTTTTGTTAGTAAAAAGAAATAAAAACTTACTCTTTATCATCATCTGTCACGTTTGGAAAAACGCCTTTTCGATTTTTCTCCTGCTCTTCTTGAAACTTTTTCAACATGGCAGCTTTTATTTTCGCCTAAAACAATTCAAACATGAAAATTGATAATTTTGGAGTGATTAAAATTTAACATAAAATGACCATTCACATAAATATCATTCAGATAAAAGAATCTTGTAGAGGAAATATTTTTAAATAATATACCTGTCTTTCCAAATAAAACTTATGTTCTTGTTCGTATAAGTCTAACAATTTAGTTTTTAATTTTTCAGCCTTTGTCAAAACTTCTTTGAGTTTTGCATCATTTTGAGCTCTATCAACAATTGAAACAGACTTAAAATTGGGATGTTTTCTTATTTTTTCCAAAAATAATGTCATGAACTTCATGTAAAGAACATAAGCATTTTCGAGGCTCCCTTCTTTGAGATAAACGTCTGCCATACGGACCATTTCAAGTCCAGATCTGTAATATTTTCTGGGAGGTATGTGATGATCGACTTCGAATGCATTACCACTGTCGGCAAGTGCCTTAATTCTAGCACTAGGTTCGAGCACGACAGCCTCATCGGTAGAAAACGAGGGGGATTCAAGTGAATTAAACGAATCCCCTTCACAAACTGCTTCCGTAAATAATGAATTCGTATCCGGTTTTTTATTTCTATACATTTTTTTTATAATTAAAATTTAAAAAATTAGCCCGGCCAAAAAAAAAAAATTATGAAAAAAGTCGCGGTGATGAGAATTGAATTGAATCACAACTTGTAACTAACATATAAATTTGTTTTGCCATCCATTATATCGTCTGCTATATTGACAAAGGAAAATATCGATCTGTGCTATTTTCTATTGGTGGCAATATTCAATGAATCGAACGATTTTTGTAAACGAGGTTTTACAAGGCGAGAACTCGATATTCGATAGAACTTGAAACTCTCTTGATCTCGATTAAAGAGAAGGTAAATGATTAAGCATTTGTTCATACTTAGTAACGGCTTTTTTGTGTCCATTAAAAATCGTTTTTAAAATCGTTAAAAAATAATTGATTTTTTTTCGAGATTCGTTTTGATCGCGGTGTTCCTTCGCCGATCCATTTTCTAATCTTTAATTAAATAATATTTATTTATCGATAACGAATTTCGATCGTTGTAACATTTTTAATTAAACATTTCGATAAATCCGTCCATATACGGATTCATCCATTTTAATTATTCATTTAAAAAAATTTATTTTAATTTAATTTATTATTATAAATTCAAGGTTAATTTAAGTATTTACAACAAAATCTAAAAATTATTAATTAATAATGTTTTTCGGTAAAACAAAACGCAAAATTTTTTTACGAAAAAAGGCGAAAAAAAAAAAAAAAAAAAAAAATTTTTTTTTAATTCCCTCATAACCCACAGATAAAAATTTTTTTCAATGTAATTTCCTTTAAATATTTTTATTATTATTATGTTAAAAACTGGAGATAATATTCATTCAAGTATGTATTTAAGTATTTTTTTTTTTTTTTTATTAACAAAATATATATATTCATCGTTTAATATTTTTATGTTTAATTTTTATTTTAAGAATGGCTAGTTCTTCAACATCGGGAGCAGAATCACTAGTTTACACATACAAAAAATTAGTAGTACCTGTTTCGATGAGAAGTATTTACTGGAAATATTTTGGTTTTCCTGCCTCTGATAAAGGAGAAATTATAACTAAATTAAAAATTATATGCATACTTTGTAAATCACAAATAGCTTATAATAAAAATACCAGTAACTTAAGGTAAATATTTTAATATTAAAATCCTTTAACATTACATTAAATGTTAAAATTTCATATATTAATATTTTCTAGAATGCATTTACAAAATAAACACTTGGCAGAACTTATTAAAATAGAAAGTCAAGTTGCTCTAGATGATAGTAATAAAGGTAAAGTAATTAAAAAACCTGTTAAAATAAAACAGGATGTTTCATTAGGAATCGAAGAAGCCGGGAGTAGTAATGAAGAATATTACATATCTGAAGAAACACCTCAATTATTTCATTTAGACGGAAGCGAAGTCGAAGAAAGTTATGTTTTTTCTCAAGTATCAAAAAAAATGGTATGAACAGTTATGACTGACATTTTTCTTTTTTTTCATCTTAAAAAAGTAATTCAATTTGTAAATTAATTATTATTATTTTTTTAGTTTCCTCATGTGACAGCTAAAGAAAGCAAATCGATAACTGATGCGATTGCAAATTTTGTAATAGCAGATTTACAATCTCCTTATGTTGTCGATGGAAGAGGTTTTCAAAGACTTCTTGTCACTCTTAAATCACCCTGCGAAATTCCTAGTACAATGAAACTTACTTATGATTTAATACCAAAGATTTATAAATCGACTAAAGAGGTTATTACAGCTACCTTATTTTTACAATTTATTTTAATGCTTGCCGATATCAAAAGATAAATTTTTTTCATTTTCAGAATCTTTTATTAGAAATTTGTAATTTAAGTTCGGATGTGGGCCTAACACTGGAAGAATGGACATCGATTAGTAATCACAGTTTTTTAACTATTAGTGTATATTATCAAAATGCTAACAATGCTGTCGTTTGTAAAGTATGTAAAAAAAAAAAACAAATAATAATAATAATAATAATAAAATCAATCAATCAATTGTTCTAATGGAAAATTTTCGAATAGGTATTGAGTACGATTCACATTTTGCCTACCATAGATTCCAACACATGGGAACACATATTAGAATCAGTTTTGTCGGAATGGAATATAGATTATGGAAAAGTGACAGCTGTAACGTTTGCAACATCACGTGAAGAAATTTTAGCGGCCATGTATAATAAAGGATATACGTTAATACCCTGTTTTGAATATACAATCAAAGTAAGAAATGATATATAAATATGTGGAAAAAAATTTTCCTCCGTTATTTATTCACACATGATATGTTTTAATAGGAATGCATGAGACTTTGTTTTGAAAATGAAGGGATAAGAGAAATAGTTGGTAAAGTTCGAGGAATCATTTCTTCGATACTAAGAAATTCCCACGCATTAGAATCATTAACGGTTCAAGAATCTTCTGCAGAGGTTATTATATTTATATATATATTGTTATATTATTTCGTTTTTGTTAGGCTCGATTAAAAAAGAAAAATGTCAATTTACAGATAGAAGGAACATTACAATTAGATAACGAAACGTTTTGGGTAACAACGTTAAACATGTTGGAACAATTCATAGCTAAAAGAGATATTATTGAAAATATTTTACAAGATCTCATTGAATATCCTTTGAAAAGTGGATTGGAAATGATGGAATGCGATTGGGAAGTCGTACAAGATTTAATAACACTTTTAGAACCTTTTAAGGTGTGATATAATTTTACCAAAAAAAAAAAAAAAAAGGCAATTATTGATTGGATCGTTGGTAAAAAGGAAAAGTTTTTTTTGTGCAGGTGACACTCATGACGTTAAGCGAAGAAAAAATTCCATTGATATCACTATTAAAACCTTTACTTTGGCAAGTTATTAATAATAAGCTTAAAGAAAAAGAAACGGATTCGTTGACTTTACAACATTTAAAAAAAATTATCATTGATGATTTATCATTTCGATACAACGACGAACAAATATCACCTTTGTTACAAATTGCCACCATGTTGGATCCAAGGTTGAAATATGATTATTAAAAAGAATAAATTTTTTTTTGTAAAATTGAAATTAATTTTAAGGTTTTTTTTTTGTAAGGTTTAAATTGTTACCTTATACAAGCGACGAAGAAAAAATGGCGACCGGCGAACTCATAAAAGGAATGTTGACAAAAGTTATTGAAGATCAAGTGCCACCCACGGAAGAACCCGTTGCGAAAAAAAGTAGATTATCAGGTACGATGGTACCATATGGAATGGCACTTTTGTAATTCCCATACGCGTTATATATATATATTTATTTTTCAGGTATGGAATTATTATTGGGAAATTATAGTAAAATACAAAAAGTAAAAGCGGATCCATCGGAAAATGCAAACATCGAATACAATCAATTTTGCACGGATGCGATTCCACCCCTCGACTCTTGTCCCGTTCAATGGTGGTCGAACAATCGTAGAAAATATTTAAATTTGGCACTTTTAGCCGATAAATATATTTGCGTTCCTGCCTGTGCCGTTTTACCCGGGAAAATTTCAGTTGAAAATCAAAATAGTTTTAATATAAAAAGATCATCGTTTACAACGGATCCAAATCTATTAGATAAAGTATTATTTTTACACGTAAATCAAATTCCGATGTAATATTTATTTAATTTCAAATGTACAAAAATTTAATTTTTAAGTTTCCCCCCCCCCCTCAAAGACTGTTATTAATAGAAAAAAATTAGTTTAAGGTATTAAAAAATAAATAAAAATGCTTTTTTCTAAAAATTGTTTTTTTTTTTTTAATAAGAACCTAAATAATGGGAGCACTCCCTATAAAACTTGTTTTTGGAAGGTACGTTTAAATTAGAGAGCAAAAAGAGTAAATAAATAATTTATTTATTTATTTTAAAAACCGTAGTAACACAATTTTTTTTTCCTTAAAATAAATAAAATGATCACGTTTTATCTAAAATATGACGACTTATCCAATCTAAACTTTGATAAAATCTTGGATCGCTTATTCTTAACATGGCTCTTTTTGTCGAATAATAATATATTGGAGAAACTAAATAAATAAATAAGAAAAAATAGGTTTGATTATGTATTTTATGGATTGAAAGTATTTTTTGTTTGTTTTGGTTATTACTTACACATTCTTTGGCAAGAAAAAAATATCGTTAATCCATCTGTCCAATTAAAATTATTTGGATTATTCCATCTAATTGTTAATAACCAAGCATGTAAAATTATAGTTATGATAAAATAAAAAACTGATATAAGTATTGCTAGCCGAAATCTATCAAAAAGAAGTTCAACAAGACCAGCTTGGAACACGTATGTGGAAAAAAAACCTATCAATGTTACAGTCAGTGAAATAACTATGAAAACATCTTGAAATCTATAATAAAAACAATCGATTAATATTATTATTATATTTATTGGAAAATACACGCGGTGTTATATTAACGAATTCATTTTTTTTTTTTTTTTTTCACATGTTTTACTCACATAAACGCAACTAGCTGCAATTCTGGTTTTAATCTGGTAAATTCTGATAATGAATTTAATAAAACATCGGCTATTATTAATAAAATTTGAGTGGTTAATAGAAAAGTGTATCGAACGGAATAACTCATGTTTAACTTGGTTTCTCTCTCTTATCGTTGAGTTAATACATTTAAAAAAAATGATACAAAAGTTTCCCATGGCAACATTCCGCCATTTGCGCCTTCTAAAATTTCATTCTTTAAAACAACTTGAATGACGTCACTTCCGTTTATAGTTTTCAGCCATTTTATGTATAATATTATTTAAATCAAAATGAAGTAAGCCTTTTTTTTAATTTTTAATTATCACGGTAATCCTTTATTTAATTATTTTATTAACTGTTTATAAATAAAATTTATTTATTTTAGGATCGGTTTATGTTCGTACAGTGGTTACAAAATATATCCCGGCCATGGGAAAACTATGGTTAAAGCCGATGGAAAGGTTAGTCAAAATAAACAAAACTAATTATACATTTTACACGCCCTGATATTTAATATTTAAATGATTCCATTCCATTATTAAAATGACGATTGCTTTTCCTTTTAATTACATAAAAATCATTTTTATTAAAAGGCTATGGGTCGTGTGAACGAATTCTAAATTCTCGATATCTAAATCATACGAACGACATATTGTTTTTTTTTTTTTTTTTTTTTTGAAAACGTACTAAAATGTTTTGTTACGCAAAATAGGTATTCACTTTCTTAAACAAAAAATGTGAATCGGCTCACTTACTTCGTAGAAATCCTAGAAAAGTAACATGGACAGTTTTGTACAGAAGAAAACATAAAAAAGGTCAAGAAGAAGAACAAACAAAGAGGAGAACTAGAAGAACTCAAAAATTTCAGAGAGCTATTGTTGGAGCATCACTTACTGAAATTTTAGCTAAAAGAAATATGAAGCCAGAAGTAAGAAAGGCACAAAGAGAACAAGCTATCAGGTATATATAATTGATTGGTAATTTATAATCGGTCCAAAAGTATGCATTGGTGTTTAAATCAGATAGAAAAATTTTGTTTCGATTCTTATTTCAATATTAACTTAAATTCGTTTAAAATTGCAAAACATTCCTGATTGGTAAAATTTTTATTTTTAGGGCTGCAAAAGAACAGAAAAAAGCTATCAAGGCGACTAAAAAACCAGCTCCAGCTAAAACTAAAACAGCTCCTAAACAAAAGGCTATTAAAGTTTTACAAAAATCAGCTCCAAGAGTCGGAGGAAAACGATAATGTCATTATTTTAAATAATAATACATTTTACATTAAGTAATTCATCTTGTTTTCATATAAATTTTATTAAACATTCCTTTCGATTCCTAAATTACCTGAAGGTCAATTTCATGCTTATTATTTTAAATAATTTCACATTAATTACGAAGATATATAATTAATTACTCGGAGTAAGTATGTATTTTTCTGATGTTTATGATAATTTTGTAGACAATAGTTATTTCGAAAAGTTTTGAAGACATGGAAAGTATCGAATCCTCAATTTTACATTACTTGATCTATAATTATGTAAAATCTGATGTACCTGAGTACCTGAAAACTAATTTTTTTTTGCTTTGATACATAAATTCATATCGAAATCATAAAGTAAATGAATTTGTTTAGAAAAAAATTAGATTTTACATAAACTTTCATTTAATTTAAACATGATTAAAGGAAATTAAACATTTTTTTTTTCAAAATGGGAAAGTTTTTTAAGTTTGAGATGAATAACAGGAACTTAAAACGAGAACAACTTTTTTATATATATATTTCCATTCGTAGGAAATGAAAAAAAAAAAAAAAAAAGTAATGGATGGAGGAGGGAGAGAACGTTAAGAAATATTTTTATTATACGTTTTGCATTCATTGAATTATAACTTTCCATATTTTGCAACATTACATAACGAAAATTTTTTTTTTTTTATACAACTTCCTATAACCGTCACATAAATCTACTTCATAAAAACGTTTTTCAAAATCATTATGAAAGAAAAGAAGAAAAAGTTTCAAAATTTATTAATTTCAAATCATTTAATATTCTTTTAACGTTTTTTTTACCAAGAAATAAATCGCAACAAACAAAATATTCAAAAATAACCGTCACTTCTATTTCGAATACAACGGATTTTACGTTTTGAAACAATTTTTTTTAAAATTCATTTACCGCGTAAAATTACGAATAATGTTTTAAAACTTAAATAAATTACACGATAAAAAATTAAAAAAAATTTTGTAATTATCGTCGTTTTATGTATTTGAGAATAAATAATTAAAATTATTTAATGTTACCGAGAATGTTACGTAAGATGTAAAAAGAAAAGGAAACAAATACCCGAATTCTAAGAATAATAATAATAATAATAATAAAAGAAAATCTTTAATTTTTTTTTTAACGGTTTTTCAACGGTGAGATAAATTTTCCTTTTCTTTTTTTTTTCCTTATTTTTTTACGCGCGATTAAAATTTATCCATAAAAAAAAAAAAAAAAATATTTGTGTGTTTAGCTTTCACTTTTTATTTAATCTCACATTTAGAGGATTCAACGAACGAACGTTTTCTTCTTTCTCCGCCATTTTGAAAAAATTTAAATTTCAAATCATTTTCATTATAATACTTAACTTATAGAAATTAATATAAATATTTACAAAGGACGAAATTTAAAATATATTTTATATAATAATAATACTAATAATAATAATGATAATAATGATATTCATATTTATTCTTTGCCATTCAAAAAAAAAGAAAAAAATTAAACGAGTTAATAACGTTTCCATTACAAACGAAAAAAAAAATTCGAATCGTTGAATCCGCATCATGTGTATCAATCCACAAACTTTCCAACTAACTCGACCTAAAACCTGAAGGGAGGTACCTGAAAACTAAAAAAACTAAAAAAAACTAAATTTAGCTTATGTCAGTTGTGAAAAATAATAAATTATTATTATTTAATATTTATCATTATCATTATTATTATTATTATTATTACGTGTAATTTCTCGGATTTGTCTCACTTCCTCACTTTTATTTTCTTAACGTTTATTTCTCGACAAACACACAACCGACAAACAACAAACAACAACAACAACAAACAACAAAAATGGTAAGTTCGTTTCCTAATTTTTTTTTTTTTTATTTTGTTAATTTTTACCAGAAGATTTTCGTTAACTTTTTCTTATATTATTATTATTATTATTATTATTATTATTATTATTATTATTATTATTATTATTATTATTATTATTATTATTATTATTATTATTATTATTAACTGGATAAAAATATCCTCAACCTCATTGTTTTCAATTTGTCCCTGACACAGAAAACGTCGTTTGGAATTTTAAATAATAATGATAATAATGATTAAAATTTTATTTTTGGTACCTTAAAGAGTTTATTATTATTATTATTATTATTATTGTTTGTTTTTCAGAAAACTCAAATCGTGTTAGTTTTATTTTTATGTACGATTTGTTTCGCGATTGAAAAGAAGGTCGAACAGACGAATGTTAAATCGTCAGCACCACCATCACCATCAGCAGCAGCACCATCAGCAGCACCGTCACCATCGTCGGGAGCCCCCACGAAAAAGGTCGAAGGTAAAAAATCAGAAGGACGAGGAGGATTTGGTAGAATGGAAATAAGCGATTCCCAATTAGAAATGGCATTAAAAGACAAAAGATATTTACAAAGACAATTAAAATGTACATTGGGTGAAGCGCCGTGCGATCCTGTCGGAAGAAGATTAAGAAGTAATTATTTAAATTATTAATAATAATAATTAATTAATTTATTTATTTATTTGTGTTGTTGTTTCTTCCTCCAGCTTTGGCACCTTTGGTCGTTCGTGGATCTTGTCCACAATGCACACCAACAGAAATGAGACAAATACAAAAAGTTCTCCTTCACATGCAACGTAATTTTCCAAAGGAATGGGCAAAAATCGTACGAACCTATCAATAATAATATACATTTAATAAAAATCACGTGACGTCACACACATACATAACTATTTTATTTTATTTTTTTTTAATGTAATAAATAAATTATTTATTAATATAAATTTCTTTTTCTCTCTCTCTCTCCACACACACACAAAACCCCAACAATTTTTTTCCCTCTTTACAAAACCCATAACAACTTGAAATTATTTAAACTCTTATTAATAATAATAATAATGATAATAATAATAATTGCTCGGAGGTTAATAAATCGAAATAATTGCTGGAGGGTTAATAAAACGAAATTACAAAATTAATTAATAAAAACTTGTAATTTATATAAATAATTAAAATTATTAAAAAAAAAAAAAAAAAAAAATCGAAAATTGCGTAAAATATAAATAATTTTATTTATGTATTTATTTATTTATTTAAAAAGTTGAAATGATAATAATAATAATAATTATTTAGGTTTTACACTGAGTTTGAAAGTAGAAAAAAAAAAAAAAAAAAGTAAAATTCTGTCCTTTGAATTGAATTTTTTTAAAAAAAGTTTTCGTTATTATTACGTAATAATAATAATAATAATAATAATTACGTTATTAAACACACAAAACACACACAATAATAATAATAATAATAATAATATTTTGGCGTTATCATCATCATCATCATTACATTGAAATGTACATTAAGAAAATTTTCACGGTACGAATTGCGTAACATCTAAAAGAATTTCATTTTTAAATTTATTGTTAATTTTTAATGGCGTCGTTAAATTTTCCGGTGGCGTTTTGGAAAATCATTATCAAATTTCGAATTATGATCGAATTTATATTTATTATTTTCCGAAATTTTCCCGGTATTGATGTTAATTCTTTCGGATTTTTTCGTAGGAGTTTTATAAACGTTTAAATCCTGTTCGCTTTTTCTCCTATTCGTTCTCTTCCCTCCCCCTCCCCCTCCTCCTCCTCCTCCTTGATTGTGATAACTCACAACAAACGGATCTGAATTATCCAGAAAAGTTTTCGTTTTTTTCCCGCCATTTACATAAAAATTTTCACCCATTTGTGATGATGAATAATATGGGATGATAATATCCGATGTTTGACTAAAACTATTTATCAATTTTGGTTTTTCATCGCATCCAATCAAATCCGTAAATTTTCCCGGTCCCGTTTTATTACCCTTTAATAACGTTTTCCTCTTCTGTCCTCCAGACTTTTTCTTTTCTGTAAACAATATTATTATTATCGACTTCGAATCGTTAGAAAAAAAAAAAACCTTGTAATGGAGGAACTAAATGACATGCTACCAAACAACGATTTCGATAATGGAACAAATGTTTCATCATCATTATCATCGTCATTTCCATTACCTGGCCTGATTCCATACAGTCGGGCACCAGAACTTTTAGGTCTGACTAAAAAATTTTTTATTTTTTGATTAGGTACGTTATTTAAAAGCTCAACATCTGATATATTATTATCATTATTATTATAAAAAAAATTTGCTTTTAACGTCTCTCGTCCTCCATCTTCTTCTTTCTCGATAAAATTTTCATCTCTTAAAAATTTTTTTATTTTTATTTTATTTTCTTTTAATTTTTCCATTTTTTGTCCATCTTCTATCAAACCGGGGATTTTTTCATCATCATTATCAACGTATATTTTATGTTTTTGTATTCCATTAACGTTTTCATTTTTTTCTTTCTGTCCGTAGATAGATAAATAAATAAATA